TCTGATTTTTCAGTACCAAAGGGTTACATTTCTGAATTATCCTATTTTTCCAGAAACTGATGTTTCTGATTCGAGATTGGAGCTTTCCTTATGAACAACCTTACGGAGCTGAAGGTGGAAACAATCTTTTAGAGAAGCGTCTTCTTACGACAGAAAAACAGCATTCTGAACTGATTCAAGTGAGGAAGCACATTAAGTCATGCTTCAGTGACATTGGTTGTTTTTTGATGCCACATCCTGGCATGAAAGTGGCCACAAATCCCACATTTGATGGCAGTCTGAGAGGTTGGTACTGGTTAGGATTACATTTAGGTACTTAAAAGGCAAACCACGGAGACATGGTAGAACAAGAGATCTTATGGGCAGAACAATACCTCAGCGCGTGCGTTTAAAAACTTTATACATTTCTTAGCCGTCCTCATCAAAACAAAACTGGGATCTCACCAAAATTTGGATGATCTGAGAACGGAAACTCCGACGGCAAATAATTCATTTTCCAATTGGAAACTCAACGCTGCTAACATACATTTACGTTATGCCGAAGTTGAGGTTTGTCGCTTTAAGAGGCGGTAAAAAATTTCTACCATTCACCAAATTCAATTTAGAAATAGGAAATAGAGATTTGTTTTTTAATCGTCGTGTTCCTTGCCGTCCTAACTGCCGATGGTCCCTATTGAACAGTCTTCATGTGAATCAAAAGAGACTTTTCTCTAAATATTGGCACCAGTAGAAATCCAATTGCTAAAATTTAACCTCGCAAGAAATCTGCATTGAGCGCTTTTCGATTGAATGTCATGAAACCAAAACCATAAGTAATCAAAACAGCCGATTAGAAGAAAGGAAACTACCTTTAGGAACCAACGAGAACTCGAAGGATAAAAAACAACCAAACTGCCTAAGCGGGCGACCGTGATTGGTTTTAGTTCTGGATCTGATTGGTTGAGGGAGAGGCGCGAGGTTGCTGGACCAATCACAGAGCGAAGTAAAGCAAAAGCCAAGCCCGGAGTACTTTGATACGTCATTCTCAAACTCATTAATAATTCATGCCGAGAAAACAAAGGAAATTACAACCGTGAAGGAGGTTTGGATTTGTGATCTTAATTATCATAAAATTTGGTGAACTTTTGCTTTGATTTTCTCCAAGAATTATCAATGGTTTGAGAAGCTATATCAAACATTCGAAAGGGTGTTCATCCGATATCCAAACACCTTGAAGTTGGTTTTAAAAAAAACTTGGCTGCGCCTCGTTTTTTCAACCACTTCTCGGTGTTTGGATATCGGATGAAACACTTTTCCTCATGTTTGATATATTACTTGAAATTGCTCTATATATGATTACCAACCGAACCCGAAATGCCTAAGTTGAACAACAGTTCTAAAATGATTAGTCATAACTGACTTATGCTGCTCCAATAACATCACGTTAAAATTGGCCAACCAATTAATTTCACGAGCCTGACTGACCACGCGGCTGAAAAACAACTCCTCGCTTCACTCTTGGAAAATAGCCTCTGGGCAGATGGTCGGAAAGTCAATAATTGGCAGAATTACTCGCACCTGGATGATCGGGAAATTGGGATTAGGAGGAGAGTTGCTTTATTAGTCTACCACACAGTGATGAGGGGAATCGTTCGCGTTATTTTATTGTTCTGGGAATTTTTCTACGTCACGATTGTCTGTGATTGACCAAATGTTTTGACTTGTTCTTTAGAAATTGAAAACGAATTTAAAGAGCAGTTACGAAAACTGACCCCATCGGTGCTTTCCTCTGAAAACCTTGTTGTTAAAAGTATCAATGGTGGAGAGGTGACATGCAGAGGGCTGTTGGAGTATTTTAAGGTTAGGGAAAATTACAGAATTGTGTCATTGGGCCTCTTTTATGTGAAGCCTTTAAGCTGGCGACCCATAAGGCGATTTCATACGCCGATCGTCACCGAAAATCGTGAGTAAATATCTCGTAAGCGTTTATTTCACGCTGCTAAAAAATTCCCCGAAACGAAGCATGTAGCCCAGTGAATTGACGGCAAGAGTATGTCTAACTGAAATTCTTGTGTAGTTTTTGCAATTTAAATAGCTTGTGTCTTTTGCAAGATTCACTCGCGCGTAACTTGACAAAGTAATCTGCTTCATTCGTCTACTGTCAGAACGAAAATCGCGAGGAAATCTTTTTATGACAACGATTGTATTGTTTTTAATTATTTTTGATGTTATATTTTATAAACACTAATATTTATTGTAAAATTCTAATATTGTGTGTGTTAACGTTAGTTTTTTGCAACTTTCATATAGCATTAATTGGATGTAACTTTGATATAACATTCAAATTATGAAACTTTTACATAACACTAATTTTATGCATTTTTTATATGAGATTTATGTAACTGCGCTCAGGGTTCCTATGGATAACAGGTTGCTTTCCAAGCACCTGAAAGAACAACCCTGAGCCTTTAGATTAAATAAGGCGTCTGTCGTCTGTGCTTCTGTCTGCTTCATTTACCTGCTCTCAGAACGGAAGGGCTAGCACCCGAAGCGTCTGCGAAGAAACTCCTTTACGGTCGCCAATGAACATTATTGACTCAAAATTATCTGATTATCTCTGTCTGTCTGTTTGTTTCAACAGGCATATATGAAGATCTTCCAAGGTGAAGAACTACCGCAACCAAAGTCTATGTTGCTGGTAAGTTTTCTGTCAGTGAATAGCGAGGTTTTAGCGAGTGACACTGGCACAGAAAAGAGACATAATTCTATTTATTTTTTCTTATTATTATTTATTTTTACTTTTCTTTCAGGCCACAGCTGAAGCGAACAACCTTGCAGCTCTGGCAATCTCGAAAGACTCTTACTCAAAACAGATGGAACATGTGAGTTGAAATACTTGAAAGAAAATTCGATTTATGCCGTTGACAGTAGGTCGACTCTGCCTTCGTTAGTGTAGTGTTTCTGCAATCTAAGAGGTAAAACGCAGCGTTTCAAATGCAGGCGGTGTATCGTCAAGTTCAGTTACAATTGTAAACAGAGACAAGGTTGGGTCGGCGAAAAGGGAAAAGCGCAGATTCCTGGACGTAGGAGAAGATTCTCTAATTTTTCATTTTCATTTTCCAAGATTTCAATATATCTTACGTAATTTCCTTTATTTCTTCTTCTCAGCTGTGTGGTGGCGACACGCCCTACTTAGCGCCGCATGAACTCGAAAAGAAACACCAACAGGTGATGGAAAACTCGTTAACGATGTTTCACGGCACTCGGAAGATGGGAGGTAGTGAATTTAGCCAGGAGTACGCCGAAAGACTTAGGAAGGAGATCGAAGAAGCATTTGGGAACTTTGTTAAACTTAACGACGGCAAAAACATCTTTAATGCTGCCCGCACTCCGGCCGTCTTCTTCACGCTAGTGGTTATGGGATACTTTTTCTCTAGTGTATTCGGCTCGATTGGATTGGTGGCGTTTGCGCGCATGTGCAATCTGGTGATATGGTCCGGTCTGTTAGCTATTATTGTGTGGTCCTACATTCGATTCAGTGGGGAGTTCAGAGAATATGGAGCCAAGCTGGATAACTTGGCAGAAGTTATGTGGGACGAGGTAAGGCAACAAAATTAAAAATACCGGAAATCGAGGAGGAACTACACGCATGTTCAGAGTTGTCAACAAGAGTTGGTAGCCGGCCAAAAACGTTGGCCAATCTGCCTTCTTTAGGTGGCGACTTTCACCTCTTTTTGCTATTAGTGCATTGGTGTGAATGTGTCTTTAGGTTAAAGCAAGTAATCAAAAAATGAAGGGGATGTTGTGGTATCTAATGCTAAATGAATCCGCTTAACTGAGTGAAAGACCTGGATATCTAGCTTATGTAATGAATCATATAGTAAGGGCCAGTTACATCAACAGTGTGTAGCCGTTATGTAACAAAATCGCGCTCTATGCCATCTTCAATTTGCCAAAACATTGATGGGAACGTTTGTTTGTGTGGACAGTGTCAAGAAGAGCCGAAAGCCAATAGTGGAAGGGCATTTATTTAATTAAGTCAACCCCCTCAAAGAGAATACCTAGGTTCACTGCTTGCGTAAACCCGCGGTTTGGGTTAGACCTCGTGTAGATAACCTGCCCTGACTCTTTTACTTCGAAGTTATAACATGAAATTTTCCTTTCTTGGACGTTCCTTGTAAATTGGTCGAGACGATTGGTGCTTTATCGAGACACCTCCCTCTTACTGACAAGTTTGTCTCATCTCATCGCATGTTTGCGGGAAAATGTTTAGACAATGTTGGGAGAAGATACACAGCAATAGCTTCTCCGTGCTAAAGGGTTAACTGTTATTTGTCATTATTATTTACTTTTCAGATATTTATGCCAGCATACAATGCTGCATTTCAACGCGGTGTGCAAGCAGTGATAATGTCACAGACACAATCATCCAAGAAAACGAAATGATTGAAAAAAAAATCTGATTTAAAATCGAATATTAAAGCAGCTCAACTCACGGGAAGTTCAACTGCTCTTACAGACTATGCTCTCGCAACTACAAAGAGTGATGATTCCCGTAAAATTAATTGCGAATAAGTTAATCACCAGTTACGAAAAACTTGGAGATATTTTGATTTTTGTCACAAAATAGACCTTTTGAGCGGTTTCTAGTTGGGTGTTGAAACATCAACAAAACAATATTTTTTCTTTTCATTAACCCATGTAAGTGGACTCAAAGTTGATTTAATTCGTTTGCGCTCAAGCTGAACTGCGACTAAACTGGGGTGGAGACGTAGTCACATACTTTGGTTGGTTGGTTTGTTTGTTTAAATTAACTCATGAAGTAATTTTGGCACGCAATTGAAAACCGCTTGATCGGGGAAGGGTACAGGAAATGCCACAATTTTATCAGTAACTGTTGCAAAGTTTCATGACCTCATTAATTAGTGACACTTTGCAGTCTGTATGTCCAGTCCTCAATTGCTTTTGAACAACTAGCTTTTCCCAGGATGGCTATCGTGCTATGATAACAGTATGAATTTTTTTCTTGCCCTCACTGGGATTTTCCGAATACTGCTCGGCTCATTGCGGAACGCATTCGTAAAAGGTTGCGGCTTACAGGAATTTCCGAAGCCGTCATTGGATATGGAAATTGTTTCTGTGAATTTCCAAAATCTTTTGCGTCAGTACTTTTTTGCTGATGGAAACTAAAATTATTTGAACAGTCAGACGACTTGTAAATAACGAAAATTGTTGGTGGAGAAAAAAAATTAACGTTGACCGTGTTGAGGGATTTAGAAATGACATTTTTGGAGAGGGGTGGTTTCAAACTGGCATTTAAACCTAGCACTTTTAAGTTTCTAATAACGCAATGCAAAATAATTTGCTTGACTCAAATATGTATTTACTTCAGATGGTTAGGAGTCTCAGTGGAAAATAAAACTCTTTATGCAACAGCAGCCTTGATACTTCTCGTTGAGTAACCCAGAACTGGGCTGTACGTGTTTGAAGGACAGCTAGAGCTGTTGGGGCATCAGTTTGCTATATCACCTTTAAGAGTTAAAATAGAATTAAACCGAAATATAATAGAAATAAAGAAATTATTGGTGATCGAGATTTCTTATCCACCCCTGAACACGTGGAACCAACATACTAACACAGCTGTTGCATGTAACGTATTTAGTATGATGTATATATATGATATGTTTTCTAGCCACCGGTCTTTAGGCCGCCTAGTTTGTAATGAATAGAATGCAATTTGTGGCGTTTCCCGCGCATGTTACTGCAGCTGATTCATCTATGGAAAAAATTGGGAATTGCTTCGCGAACAGAATGAAAGATGAAAAGCAGAATGCGAGCTCCTTAAATCGAAACTTATTTCATTTCAACAGGCTGTGTGCAAATTTTTAGTAAATGTTATTTGCACCCATTTTGGTATTGCGAAGTTTCTTTTGTATGTCAAATTTTGTGTTTATGTCTTAATTTCCAATTTTTTTTTCATTTTGTGTACCCCTTAGTTAATCTTTCCATACCTAAAGGGAAGTTTTTAATTTCTCCAAGGGTTAACGTTAACTACATCAAAAATTTAGCGGAAGAACTTTCGCTGGTAGTCCTGGTTCCATAACTTCGTTTCACGTCCGAGCGGTAAATTATTTCACGAGGACAAAAGCGTTCGCAGTACGTAACTCTACAAACTGTTTTCAACTTTTCAGCCAAGAGTACCACGATTTCGTGCTATAAAAGTGTGAGCTGTGTAACAGATAGATTTTTGTTTATCTATTGACTTCTTTTATTGCTAACAATTCCAAGCTTCGAAAAAACTTTCTCCTCGCGTTAATGAAGTCAATACATTTCTAAGGGTTTTTGTTTTCGTTAGTATTCACTGGATAGAATAAAATCACTCCACAAATTCCTATGGAAGCAAAGGAGTGCAAGAATTAATTAGAACGAAATAAATCAAACAGGAAGACGTTTGCTAAGGTGATAATACTCTTTTTGGAACCGTGAGTGACAGCTGTGCAAATTTTGCGCGGAGACATGTAGGCATGCCCTTGATGATTCCCTTAACATTTGATAAAATATTTAAATGCAATGTAATTTAATTTAAGACATTTAAAAACCATCAGATTCAACGACCACCTGCGCTTGAACTAGGCACCGAAAAGAAAGCTTCTTTACATTTGAGCATAAAAAAATATAACGGGTTCTATTCATATTTTTTCCCTGTGAAACAAAGTTTAATTAAACCTAACAAATGTTGATGACACAGTTTTATTGAAAATTGAAATCACCATAGTGATGTACCGGTTACCATGACGACATGTTGTTATACTTCTGAGTGATATAACTGGTATCTTCCGCACGCTCGTTGAACATATCATGTTTTTGCACAGGACGAAGGTCTGGTATTTCATTAATATCTTTATAGAGATAATTATATTTGTTCTCCGACTCTATGACTATTCTAAATTTTTATCAAATTATATCGATTCGTTGAAAACCGCAGTGTTGCGAACCCTAATTTAAAGAAATTAGATATTGGAACTACGTTTGCCAAGAAGGAAAACCTTGAAAAACTGTCTAGAGAATCATGTAATGTTCGATTCTCTAGGTAAAATTTCGCTCATCACGCTTTCTACAAAATTGCATTTTTAATATCCCTTTTTGTTTTTGTTTTTCTTTCCGACGATGAAAACAAGCAACTGTCGCTAAACTAAGAATTTACATACAGTCATGACATTAGTGTTTCAGCTTGTAGATTTGTTGTTTGATCGGTGGTGTCTGGACCTATTATATTCTTTGGAGCCACTCATAATCCATTCCTGTATTGAATTAACATTAAAGAAAACCTCTTTTTCTCTTATGAAGAAAGTGTTAGACTTATTTTAGCTTCACCAGCGGTAAGATATACCAGGTTAGCTAAATAAAGCAAATAAACAAGAGAAAAGGGGAAAAAACAACACTCCATCTCTGAGAGGTTACGCTCGCGCAATCCAGTAAATTGTATACGTTTAAAATAGAAACTCATGAGGATAAGTGGTTGTTTGCTACCATCAAAATCTCATTTTCACTGATTACCAGATCTGTTGATAATTAGGTGCTAAAAGGCGGACCATCGAGCTGGCGCCAGTTCGCAATAACCTAAAGAGACGGAGAATTGATAAGTCAACAGGACCACAAATCGAGATTTATTCGTCAAGAATTGAGCGCAAAAGTAAATACACTGCCGAAAGAAACGTGTGTGATGTTAGTAAACAAAGTTGTAGCTACTTTTAATAACGTTAGAGCTATGTGAATCCCGCGCTTTGATATGTACGTGATCCGAATTGTGAAAGAGCGCCGCTTCGGCGCTTCTTTCAGATATTTCCAGAGGTTTATGTTCTCTCTGTGGCATAAGAAGCAATAAATCACTCTTTGACACGCTGTTTTCTGTCTCTCACTGGAGATGTTCAAAGTTGACACCAAACAGGTCTACAAATCTTGAATTACTTGAAAATGATTTGTTTGTATGTTCTAACCGACGAAGTCTTGAGAAGGTACTTGAACACAGACGATTCTTCAGGGCCTGTTTTCGTAAAATCACTTCGTAGATCTTTGAAAAACGATGACCTAACCTTAAAACAAATCTTCTACACATCAGTTTCCCTCAAAACCTCTAACTTTGGCCATTCGTTAGGATAGAAGCTCACGTGTGATTCACGAATTGCAGTACTTCGAAAAGTCCAATCTCGCATTCTTTGCTTTCCTCGGACAAACAAGCGTTTGAAACCACGACGAAATTCCCTACTTACGATAGAATAAATAATTGGATTGACAGCTGAATTCGCAGTCGTAAAAATAACCAGCACATTATACAAAACCCAAAAATATTCCAGGAAGAAAACGCGGGGCCAGTATAAAGCTACCAAGCGGAAGATGTTGATAGGAAGCATTGATACTGCAAACGTTACAACAAGCGGGGTTAGTATCCTCTTCGCTTTTGTGTTTTCTTTTAGTCGATGGTTTTCCTCCTTCTTACTCCGTTTGTCGCTTTTTCCGCGGCTAACAGTGCTACATTTTCGTTCAATGTCCTTGTGGAAGCCCGTACTTTGAGCTAGACGACTTCCGATTTGAACATACGTCCAAGAAATTATTCCAAAGGGAAACACGTACGTGAAGATTGTCAAAGTTATAATATAAATTTGCTTCCAGAGAAGAAAACTCGGTTTTCTGAACCAGTTCACAAAGCAAGCCGATGTTTTTTCGTCGAATTCGATAACAAAGAAAAGAGGCAACGAAACAATCGCGAAGGAAACCACCCAAATTGCAACGATTGTTATCGAAGTGGTGGCCAGAGAACGACCGCGGTAGACCTCAATACGTTTCACAATATTGATATATCTTTCCACAGCGACGCATGTAACCAACCAAACGGAAGCCCCGTAAAATGTGTCAATAGTAGGGTATACATATAAACAAATTCCTTTCCCAAGAGGGAAATAAGTTTTAACTTGTTCCTGTAGTACAGCCATGGGAAACACGATTGTCAATACACCAATATCAGCGATTCCCAGATTGAATAAATAGCGATTTATGGCTGTTTTGGTTCGCATTCTAGAAATCACAACACAAACCAGGATATTGCCCAAAACTCCTAAAACAGCTAAGGAGGCTTCAAATACGAGGCGAGCTATTTCCAATGCAGGTGGTTCGGAGTAATATTGCATTGGAATAGGAGCCGACGATATTGGATTTATCGTCGGGTTGTTCGAGCAATTTTCCGAAGAAGCCATTCGAACTGCGAGATCTTCGATTCAATCTCTAATGTCGTGCAACTGACATGAATAGGCCCTTGAAATGGGCTCCTACTGTTCAAGAATCTTGCATCACCGTCAATTTCGCAAAGTGACGTGTATTTATGATTTGAGATTCGTAACTCGCCGCCCGATATCTTATTGGATTTCTGCTTTCCAGATAATTGTGTTGATTGTTCTGGGGCGTCTAATAAATCATCTTAAGGACAGCTGGCAAACACACCATCGAGATCTCTTGAAGTTATAACACCTTGTTGCTTCATGGTCAATAGTTCCTGAAGAGCATTGTTCTTTAAATAACAAGATTATTCCTAAACCGTCTTTGGTGAGTTGATTCTCTTTCGTTTGGGCGCTGGGAATGTACACAATGTTGCTTTTCAAGGTCGGACTTCTGTTTTCGCCGGTTACTTTCAGTCAAAGACGCATAAATTTTTTAGCGCGCCAGTAAACTTAACGTCAGACATTTCGGTGTTCAAGGGCTACGAAGTGTCACATACATGTTGCACTTGTCTTAAGTGGAATAAAAGTGATTAGCTCGCATGGCTTAGTTGACATTGAACTCTTCGTCTCTTTTCGCCGTTACATACGACGTAAATACATCTTAATCTGTTAGAATTAAAAGCTGTTTCACATTTTTCTCTTCGATCGCAAAGGGATTAAGTCAACCTGGTTAAGCCGCAATTCGGGCCTTAGCCGATAGAACAGATTAAAATCAAACAAAAGAGTTATATGAATATCAAAAGCAAATCCAATTAGAGGGATCTTGTTATACTTAGCTGTCCCATTAATGAAACAATTCATTTGGAGTCGCTACAATAGCGATGGTAATTAACAAGAAATAAACTGTGAATTGTATGTACTAAACAGACATGAAAGGACTGCAGTCGACCTTGTTTACGGATGCCATTTGGCATCTCTGCAAAAAAGTCACAGTTATCTCGACCAACAGACAGTCATGAGCTTTGTTTCTCTCTCGGCCAAATGGTTCGATACCCCACTGTTCTCTGTTCAAATGGTATAAGTTTGTGAATCGTTCATAATTGTTTATTGTACTTGCGAAAAGCGCTCCTTCGATTAAAATGTTCTTTGAAGCAGACATGGTGGCGTAATTTGATTTGGAATTTTTCACCGTATAACCTATTTAGGAGTTTGGCCACCGTAACGAATTTCAAAGCTGACGTTTTGAACGTTAGCCTTCGTCATT